TTTAGTGAACATAACTTGTACTTGGAATGGCTTAATTCAATAATTAGTCTATTAATTATCAGTTTAATTTCATTTTAGTCTAAAAAGTATGTTTTCTTTTTAAAAGGTTTATAAACTTTGAAGAATACTTCAAAATAGTTTATCATACAAAATTTTCGTTAGTTTCGATAGAAGAATTAGCTTAAAGATAAAATGAAGCAGTCTTTTAAGTTTTGAAAATGTGATACTATCCCAATAAAATTTGATGAATTAAGAAATATTTTATAAAAATAGATTAGTTAGAATTTGCAATGAAATGGAGTAACTAGCTTAATTCGAAAAAAATAACTTAGCAAGTTTAGAACGGGAAGCTTTAGAAGTAAGTCTTGAAGATATAGTAAAAGTTAGAACACTTAATTACCAAATAAGAATAAAGAAAGAAAGAATAAATACACTAAGAAATACTATTAATACACTTCTATCAACACGAATAATAAACAAATAAACCAGATTAACATGTATTTACTCAACACATTGGGTAAAAGTGTAATTGATATAGAAGATGCAATTATCATTGATAAGATGCCAGAAATAGAAATAATTAATGAAAATACTTTAAGAAGAATTAAAGCAATGGGGAAATTCCTTTCTCAAGAGTTAGATTCTATTAAAAAAAGAATAAATTATGTCAAAAATTCTAGAGATTTGAAAGAAATAAAAGAAGAAATGAAGTCTATCAAAGACTCAAAAAAGACTCTAATATCTCGAGTTAGAAAGATAGAAATCAAAATAAAAAAAAATTTTAAGTTATTAAAAGCAATCGCTAAAAAATTTGCTATAAAAACCTAAGATGTATAATAGAATAATCCCTTAATCAGAAAGTGATATAGATAAGAAATTCTACAAGATCCAAACTCAGCTTAAGGACTTATAAGATACTATAATATTAGTCTACAGTAGATGAAATATTTTAGATAGAAATGAAGGATTTAAAATAATCCCAAAGATTTTCATAGAAAAACCTAAATCAAAGGGAATAACACTTTTTATGTTAAAAACTAAAAAAGAAAAATTAAAAGAATTAGAACAAAGATTCTTAGAAGAAGAAAATGTAGAAGAATTAGATAATCTGTACAAATAGATTACAATAACTACCAAATAACTAGAAAATATGAAAATGAATACTTAGAGAGAAAGAAAGGAATTGAAGAGGAAAGTGAAGAAGAAAAGGATGAAAAATCTCTTAATATAACTCCAATAGAATTCTCAATACAACAAGGAGTAGAATTTAGCATTAGTCAAGATTACAGAAGAAATAGAAATCAGATACTTGAAATATTATATGATAGAAAGAAATTTGGAAATCAATCTAGACTTGAAACCCCAGTTAGAGTTAAAGAACAAATTATTAATACCAATGGCATTTAGCTAGATTTAGACTGTGTTACTGATCCAAAAAAGGTCATTAGTGATTGGGCTCAAGCCACCTGGATAGCCATAGCCAACAGAAATTGGAATGCTTTACAAGCAGTTAGATTTATTGAAGTCACCTTTAAAGGAATAGTTCATAATTGGTTTGTAGGTCTAAATGAAGAAGAAAGTAATACCATCATAAATGGAAATCTTGCTTTAGAAGAAGTAAATGAAAATGAATCAATTCAAGACATAATAACTAGGTTTGAATAAGCTATAAGAAAAGAAATTTTAGGAGAAAATTGGGAAGAAAATCAAGAGAAGGAAGAAACCAGAGTTGGTAGAATAGCAGTATGGAATCTACAAAACCTAGCATAATGTAATCTTTGCGACTTAGATCAATATATTTGTTTATTCCAGAAGTATTATTATAAAGCCTCAAACCATGGAATGACAAAAGGTTTAAGAGAATTATTTTTTGGAAAAAATCCCTAATCCTTGGGGAATAAAGCTAACAGAAACCTATAGAACATATTTAGAAGATAACACTGATACATTAGGTCTGAGAATTTGGTTTGCTAAAACCAAAATAAATGAGTGATGTTTAGAAACCTATAACTATAATTAACAAATTAAGAAAAAGTATGAAAAAGGGGTTATGTTGTCCCAAAAATAGTGATCCAACCAAGTTAGGATTTAGTTATTCAAACTATAAGAAGAGAAACAAAAGATTTAAAATTAAGAAAGTTAATAAACAAAGGTTTAATAAGAACAAATTTTTTGGAAAGAAAAGGAGGTATTTTAAGAAAACAAAAACACCAAGAAAAAATAAAAAAGAATCCTAACAAATGCACATGCTGGTTATATAAAGAAGAAGGACACTATGCAAATGAATATCCTAAAAGATATAAAAGAGAAAGTACTAAAAATTTAAAGATTTATGAAGAAGAATTGAGCGAAATAGAGACTAGCTCTATAAATAGTGATGAAAGTATATATGAAGTGGAAAGTTTAGAAACTTCTAACAGCAATGAATCTGAATATTGAGGAAGGAGAAGCTTATTCTGAAAAACATGAAGGATATGGAGAATACAGCCAAATAATTATATTCGATAAAACTAAATACAAAAGAATCAGACAAAAGGGAATGGACCTTGCATTAGAAAAGAGATTCAAGTTAAATTCCTTTATAAGTAATACTTTTAAGAGGAAAGATATAGTTTATTATCCACTAAAGAATTATTCTTGTTGATCAGTATACGAAACAAGGAATCTCCTAGTCTCTCTCCTCAAAAAATTTCTTTTATTTATGTAGTTAGTTTATATATATATATATATATATATCTTAAATTTATATATATTTTAAAATTAATTTTTTAAGTAATCTGAAGAGTATACTTTACATTAATATAATATATTAAAAAAATTAATTTATTGAAATATTAACCTTTTAATTTTAAATCATAAATCTAACTTGTAATGAAGAATTTATTTATCGTCAATCTAACTTTAAAGATTTTGATGGTGAACAGCAGTCAAGATCGAGAACGATAGCAGTAAGTTAAAAACTTTTTTTTTATAAGAAATGGAGAAATTATATTAATTAAAAAAGAAGTACAGAAAAACTCCATTGCAGGGCATATAGCCTAAAGCATTATAGCTTGAAGATAAAATCAAAAGTATAACCTACAGCACTAGTACCAGATTTAAACTATGCCTATGATAAATATAGACAATTAAGTAAAGAGAGCCATTTGCAACTAGATATTTCTATTGCAATCGCTGTTGGGTTAAATAATGCTACTAAGGTAAAAAGGAAAGTCTCTTTGAGCATCAGAAGCTACTGGATGTCCTCACCTATTTAACTAGTTTTGTGGGGAGAGCAAGGATTCCGACAACAAATAGTCCCCAACCTGCATGTTGCCTCCCGATCTATGTCTAAAAATTAACCAACAAAAAAAGAGGCAAAGAACCCCTTGTACAAGCACAGTGCTACCCAGCCTTGAATGCGATGCCTCACTAATTTTGTCAATTCTCTGTATAAGCACAGGCATCCCAATCGCCACCGAATACCCGCAATCAGATTTCCAACTTTGCCAAACCGTTGCAATCCCATACTGTCAAGACCCATTAAGGGAACTGGAGCCCCTTTGCCGGCTTGAACACCATGCTTCCTGTGCCACCCACAACCGACGTCACCCATGGCATCCTTTTCCCTCCGAAGTTGGTAGCCATATCGAAAATTGGAATGAAGTAACCTTGCCGAATTTGATCCCCGCCAAAATCCCATCCCAAGAGATGCCCTCTACAATAAATAGGAGAAAACCGAACCACAAACAGGATCAATTCCCTCCCTATGCCAGTCGAAGCCTTCAGAAAACACCCCTAGATGTAGATTTGAATAGGCCGCTGCCTTGTGGTTCCTTGGGCTGAAGTTTCCAAAGCAAGGCGGGCGACGAAGGTGAAGGAGAGAGCAAGAAGGGGAAGGAGAGGATAAGAGGAAAACAGAAAGGGAGGAGCGCTCTGCTGCCGGAGAGGGACTCGAAGGAGGAAACTTGCCGCCTCTGCCCCAATCCTAGGCAGAGCACGGGGAGTAAAGGTGCAAATAAGGATTCCAACTTTGCACTTTTTTCTATTTAAAGATGTTAACTTTGTCAGTTTCTAAATAAGGATGTCAACTTTCAATTTTTTTTCTAAATAAGGATGTTAACTTTGTCAGTTTCTAAATAAGGATGTCAACTTTCAATTTTTTTTCTAAATAAGGATGTTAACTTTGTCAGTTTCTAAATAAG